ATATATATATATATATATTATATATATATATATAGAGAGAGAGAGAGAGAGAGAGAAAGAGAGAGAAAGATGGGTGTCATTTTTTAAATGGGTGTTTCTGAAGGATGGACAATAGTTTGATATGTAGCGCTGGTGTTGCGAACTTGTCATTTTTCGCGGGATGTTTTCATATGCATACAGCAAACAGTTGGATAATTTTTATTGCTTAAAAATTATATATTATTCTAACAAATTGTGCGTTAACTTTGGTTCCATCGATGACCATACTTTTTTTCATTTCTCTCTTCAGCTTTTATGCAGTTCATTTCAGCGCCCATGGGCAAGTCATGTATGTCGCCATTTTCTGCGGGAACTTTTTGTTTTTTCATTTTTCTTGCCTACCATGGATTTAATAGCTGATCCGGATATCATCAATCGAGTATTGATATTTCTCTTTGATTCGGATGTTCTCAACTGTCCGCCATTGTCTCAGGTATTTCCGATAAAAGCTAAAGTATATTATCTTTTGCTTTTAACTTTATCAATAGCTTCCTTCATAGTATCATAATTACCTCTGAATGAAAGTTCCTTACAAGACTGCCAATAGAAAAATACAGAGGGTACTATTTAAGTGGATCTGCCCAAGTAATTTGTTCTAAAGTGTGGTAAATGGGATGTACACTCTTATAATATCCTTTTTTAGGAAAGCAGACAAGTTGAAATCTTACATGGACTTACAGATTACTCTCTAAACGACACTCCTGACTCACTGCTTCAGCTGAAGCTTAGTGATATGCTTCGGGATACTGGGCAGTTAATTATGTTCAGGGCGTATTTAAATGATATTCATGCGCCCCTAAACGAACTTGATTTTTTGGTTCATGCAGGCGATGCGCATGGAAGAATGCTTAATGTTCAGGCATGTACTTTGAAATAATGCTTTCTGAAATATATAGCTAAAAATGAACTGCATGAGAAATGAACAGTTGAAATTCTTCAAAGCAACATCGCAATTAAAGTATAAGCTGCTGTCGGAAACTTTATTCAGGTCCTTCGTAGCTTCCATGTACATGCATATTCATTAGATTTAATTATCACAGTGTTATGTAGTATTGCTGGTGAAAGTCATATAAGAAGCATTTAATTAGTTCTGTGAAGATAACCAAGAGTTCAAACAGTACTTTATGAATTCCCGGATTTAATTTGATCAACTTTGTAAATTTTTACATTGCAAAGTATAATAATGTTTGATAACCTTGCACTGGATTTGCAGAATGATCTCGTTGCAATGAGTGAGCTGCAGTACGATATTTGGGAGCTTTTTATTAAATATATTCACGAAGGTGCCCCGGATAGGATTAACCTTCCCATTGAGATTGTCTGTGAATTTACCGAAGCAGTAGAAAAGCATGACTGTGAATTGCTTGATCGGTGTCTAGAAAAGGTTTACTTTTCGTTACGTAAATTAAAATTTAACGAAACTATTATAAATATAGGATGATAGATTTTGATACAAATTCAAAATATAGAATATTCTGCTGAAATATAAAACATTTTTCGATTTATTTTATTAATTTGTGCATTACAGGCTTTTCAAATTGTATACAAACGAATGCAGCATGAATATGTGATACCATTTTGTCAGTCAGAATGCTTCTTGGGTAATTTATGTGGTCCTCGACCTGTGGGTGTCGATGAATTATTTACATCTAGGGAATACTCTAAATCAACTCGTGGTCTTCTATCAGCTGTTGAACCTAACTGTTCCCTAACTCAGTTCCGGTAAATAAAATTTTCCTGCAGTTGTTAAAAAGCTGTGTTTTTATTTGCTTCCATCTTTTGGTTTCTGATTTATCAGTTAACTTGTAATTCTTAATATTATAAATTGATGGAAAATGCACCATTCATGCCATCTGCTAAGTGAGTATTTTTACCGAACACACTGAAATCAGCTTGATTTAGAACTTTTGAAAATTAGCTGTGGAAGTCAAACTTTAATAATTCCAACTTAAATTTGTTGATTCATATTCACTCATTTTCACACGAACAAGAAAACGAGGGCGAAGGAATCAGTTGCTGTTTTTTTATGGTTATTGATATTTTTTAAAGAAATGGAAACAGTCCATTTCACTATATATTGGTATACTTGGTATATAGGTATACTTGGTATATTGGTATATAGTTGGGAAGTCAGCTAGCTGTCATCAGACTTCTTGATTGTCCTAAATTTATTGTAGCCAATAGAATTGGTTGTAATACATATTAGCAAAAACTGGGTTTCTTGTTTTGGTGTGACTTTAGGAGGGCAGTCCCAAATAGATCTCAAGCAGTGCCATTTTCAAAGTCTTTTCCTTGTTGCTGTATAACACCTTGAAATATAATCTGTACGGTTTTCAAACATCTTTCTAACATTTATCAAATTTAGGAATCGCTTTTGGCGAGTGGTCTTACCAACAGCTGAATCAGTGGATCCGTCATTTGATCATTTGAATAATGTTGCACTAAGCGAGACGAATAGTGGAATCGAGCCTGCTGATAATATCACGGAAGGTTTGGGTTCCGATTCACCAGATGATGGTACAACGTTGCCAACTTTTGAGGTAAGTGTATCCGCTTTATTAACTTCATTTTTTAGATTCCACTAGTATATTGTAAAGTGTTGAAATTTCAGTTTGTCCTGAATAATGGAAAAGAAAAGACTGCAGAGATGCAGGATGATCAGCTTATCTCCAATATGGTATGTTGTGGTGTCTGTTTGGCATATGGGACATGAAATTTTTGATTTCGGATAAGCTTCGTCATAATTTCTGCCAATTTTTAGCCCGACGAAGAGGTTGTTGAGCAGCAGATGATTTTGAGTAATTCATTTGAAATACCGATGTTTGATCCGGAACGTGATATGAACAAATGGAATGTAACATTCCATATGTTGAGCCACGACGAGATCCTGTTGGTGGTCTGTTCTGAATTTCTTCAATTTTTTAATTAATATTTTTTTGAAAAGAAAAAGTACCATATTAATCTCTGAAAATTCAGGTTAAGGTATTCTATAAATTAGTTCATATTCAGGTCATACAATGTACGTCTATGTCATTTCGGTTGAACGGTTTGATGTAAGCGATGATATTGATCAAAAATCGTTATCAGCCACTGCAGCACCACAAAAAGTAAGTTCCTTTCCTGTTAAGCTAGACGGAATTGAGCGATAAATTGTCCTTCAAATTTCGTTGAAAAATCACTTGGCTTTATGAATACTTTCCCGTTCACGGTTCATGCTGTCAATATTTCCAGTGGTCTGTCATTCGCCAGTATAACGAATTTTACATCCTGGAATCAAAATTGATAGAGTTTCATGGAAGTATGATTAAAACGGAGTCACTGCCGCCGCGGCGATTTTTCAATTGTAAAAGTCGTGTTTATGTCGAATCGCGACGAGAAATTTTTGAACGTTTCATTCACTTACTCACAAAGCAGGTGTCAACATTTTCCTTTTTTAATGAATAGTTGATCAATATGTACGGGGTAGGAAAGCGTAAGATAATGTTTGCATAATTCTTTTAACTATTGCTTTTGTTACTGAATCTCCTAATTAGAATCATTTGGTAGCACTATATATATAAGACGAACATATTCACTAACATGAATAAGCCTGGTTTTTTTAGCGAGCACTGAAACAGTCAGATTTACTGTATGTTTTTCTGAGTACTGAACAAAGATTGAAGGATTCAACACAAATTTCTGATCTCTACCCGTGGAATGTAAGTTACAATTCACAAATAAATTGAATCGTTTATAAGATGATACAATCGATCTTCTTTACTTTTACTCTTTAAAGTTGCGATTTTTTACTCCTGCTTCTGCAGAAATCTCAATGATTTTCAGATGGTTAAAAAAGTGCCGGGTAAATTTGCTCGCGAGAAAGGTCAGAATTTGAAACCATTCATTTTATCTCTGCTAGCGGCAACATTGATTCCTCATCCGAACAACTCAATGGAATCTAGGTGAGATTTCATGATCACAGATTTCTTTAAATTTTACCAAAAATTATATATTCTTATGCGAAGAACAATGTTTATGTAGAGATACAATCGGAGGTCTTTTCATATAGAATATTGCGTTCTTTTTCTTTTTTCTATGCGACAAATTTCTATTGCACCAAATAATAGATTAAACGAAAAAATTTTTGAAAACTTTCTATTGCTGGCTTTATAGACCGTGATGGTAAATAATTTTGAGATACTGGTATAGGAATCAGTACCGAATGTTATAGGATTTTCAGCGTTACTTCATGTATTCATCCAGAAATTGCAAATCAAACACGAAGGATATTGGCAAGTGATATATACGGTGACAATTGTCCAAGTGCTCAGACAGATTTCTCCCTCACGAAAAGTACATTATGGACGAAGTATCTGTTTTATTAAATTCTGTTCTCGTGTTTCTTTTTATTTGCAAAACTCGTCAGACACTGCAGTGAGTTTCGTTTTCCCTCACGCTTTATCTTCAGCAGATCAGTTTTAACTCACAAACTGGTTTAGTGACCAACTGAAAGTTGAATAATTGGATTTGCACTCAGATTTCGGAAAAATGACAAATGAATTTCAGCTTAGCGAGATTATTATTTCTCTGGGATTTTTAAATTACCAAATTTTCCATCAAAAATCTAATTTGTAAATAAGATTTTCAGCAGCTTCTATGATGCCGTACTTTTCATTTTGAATCGGTTGTTTGGTGTTGTTCGATGGCCAATATGGATAATTATTACCATTCGACACTTAATGGGTAGTACTATTGATGCAGTAGCAGCTGTACTGTTTAGACGTTTTCTGAGTAGAATGTTTGTCGATATTAATTGCATACGTATACTACGCTTCATTCAGGAATCAGTTTTCGGTTTTAACAGCTCAACAGAAACCGATCAGGTGACGGAAGGTTTCATTTCAGTAATGAATTTCCTAAGTTCCATGCATTCTTTTTTTTTGCCTCTTAAATTATTTGATTGATAGTAATTTACTTAATTTTTGTTCTGATTTCTGAACTTTCTACATTTTTTATAATAGCTCATTTTTTTATAATCACCTTTTCTGCTGAGAAGGATGCAAAATGTATCATCGTTTTATTAACTCATAATCGATACTGCTACTGAGTATTCAGATTTCGTATTTTAGGAAAAAATGCTACGTATGGAATTGGCGCAACATCTAACATTGGAATACTTGCAGGAACAGCTGCCAGTCTGTTTTATTAAGTTAATTGGTCATAAGCAGTTCTCTCAGGGAATGCAAACTATTTTTCGCATCTTGCAATATCCACGTTTAAATAAACAACTAGCATATGTTTGTCTTGACATATTTATACAAAAAATTTTTCCAATTGAAAATGAGCGAAATCTGGAGATTAAATAGACATACATTTTTCCAATTTCCTCCACTGGTTGTAATAGTATCATCATTAATTTAATGTTGGTATTTGTTGATGAATTTAAATATTTAACTGATATTCATACTAATTATTTCGAGCACGTTGTGATCTTCCGTTAGGATTTGCCTTCATCATTCATGGATCATTTTCTCATAGGCCTCCATAGGTAAGCAACATCTCAATAAGATCATAGTCAGTGCTTCAGAAAATCAGGTAAATTAGGATGATCTTATCTTGATCTTCGTAATTATTTTATAACAAATGATGCAACTTGGAATGTTTTTTTTATACTTTAGTTTGTCGCTGTTTCATCGTTCGACAATCTTTTCCATAATTTATTTAAATTTAACTGCTCATTTTTATCATGAAGCTTTATTAATTTGCCTGACGACATAATATAAAGTCTGAATTAGATTTAGAAAATTCATTTCGTCATCTGGAGGCTTTTGCCTAGTCAGCTTATTTATGGGTGTAATTTAATTTCCGAATTTTTCGGATATATTATTTCTCATTTAATTTTGTATTCCACTCACTTCATATTAGTTGTGGTTTTTATAGTGCTTTACTGTATTTGCTACTATTACTATTTTAAGCAGCTACATATTGAAATTCACTATGGTTAGCTATTTTGGCAAGATCTCATTAGTTTTAATGTGCGATTGTAATCATTTACTAAATTAATTTGAACACTTTTTCAATTCTCATTCGTTATGACTGCAAATCTGCCTTTTGTTAATATTTAATCAATCCATTGTGCTGTTATTTTATGATGGATTGGTTTATTGATAGTTTCTTGGAAGGTTATAACGTTGCTGCAGATGAAAGTATTTCAATTTTATCTGTTCATATAATTTTACCAAACTTTTCCTACATCATCATCCTTTTTTGAAAGAAATCAATAAAAGATGTGGATGAAATTTTATAGGTGCGAACGATTGATCTGAAATCATTCATGTTTGAAATTATCCTGTTTTGACATATTTCAACTTTCAATCTCTAGTTTATTTGAATTATTAGGAATTTGATTTCCGTTATTCATTGGTATCTAAAGGCAATGAGATCCGTATGGTCCAGCAAAATTTTGTTTGAAAATGAATAATATAGCGTTAGCTTGTTATCTTCTATCAAGTAAAATAATTGAAGTTTGACTAGAGTACAGTTTGTTGTGGTTTATATTGTTGAAATTTGGTATTGTAATATCAAGAAGTATCATTTCCCCGTATTCGTATCATTAGGAAGTTGAGGGTCGAAAATTCGTTCTTTCGGGAGAATTTCTTTTTTCTTTAATTCGAATGCGAATATAATTTGCTTTAATTTGGATAACTTTTAATAAAAACTTATTTTCAGGCACACTGAAGGAATGCACATTTATGATTGCTTCCAGCATTTACCATTCGCGTTCGAACAAGTTGCAACAGTGTTCTGGCATCGATATCCGAATAAAACCGCGAAGCACGTCATAAGCGAAGATTTCATTGAAGTTGCCGTTAGTAAAGACTTTTTTTTATTTTTGTCCAACTTTTTCCAAATTTTTGGAGCTATTTTAATAGAGGTGCTACAGTATCAGATGGTTACATTTTATTAATTAGTGTTTCCTTATGTATATATATGTATATATATATATATATATATA